TGGACACCACCAGATATGGGTACACCATGCTGGTACATCTTGGCTTATGATAGATCGTGTATAGCGATAGAAAACTAGACCTCTACCTTGACGTAGCCTCGGTCACAGCTAGCGAAGACTTTAGCCAGTGAGAGTCTTTAAGTGACAGGTCTGGTTGGTATAGCTGGCAATCCCTGAAGCCGTTGCTCTTCAGTGTGGTCTCAGTCGATTGCTTTCTTCCCAGGTATCCTATAACAGGACCCTTCTTCCACTGAAGGATCTTTATAGTACCCTGCCTAGCTTCTCATTTGCTCACAATACATGAGTCAGTATGCGCTAGTATGGTGCCCACTTCAATGCCTAATAGTAAATCGGTACTTTCAGAAAACGCCTGTTAAGACAGCTTTGCTTTTACGAGATCTCATGTGTGCTTGAGAACCATATCTGACCTAGTCTAAACTCCAAGCCATCCCATGCGAATCATATCTTCATTCAATTATAGGTACCTTGGATGCAACTAGGAACCTAGAAGACTTCGAACTACCAAAATCCTTGAATCACGACGACTTAGAAATTTCAGAACGACTTATAACCTCAATTTTACTTAGCAGCGACGTAGCTAGAGCCCTATATCCCCACGCATCTGACGAGGAAATAGCTGACAAAGGTTCTGGGACCTACTATACTATGAACGAAATTTTAGAGGACACGTCTGAGTCTAGATCATTACTAGCCAATCATGGCCTAATGATTCCATTATGGAACATTCCAGATTCTGATAGAGTACATGGAAAGTTTTGGCCTTACGGTAGAGGAGTATTCATAGGGAATGGAACAAACTTAGCAGTTTGGGTGAATGTATTAGACCATATCAGGATTGTCACATGTACCAGCCAAGAAATGCCTGGCAACGTTGGACAGGTTTACTCCAGAGTGGCCAGACTAATGGATGTATTGAATAACCATCTTAGCTTTAGATATGATGAAAAACTTGGATTCCTATCGTCAAGACCTTCAGCCTTAGGGACTACGTTGCAGTTCACCCTGACAGTGAGGTTTCCATACTTGATAAAAGAACCTGATAATTTGAGACACCTATGTGTAGTACGAAACTTGACCTACACGAAAGTGACGAAGAGTGCCAATGTTATACGAATAGGGAATCAACAGTGTGCTGGAATCACTGAATTGCAGTGCTTTGAAGACTTCACTACAGCTGTCACAAATATACTGCAACTTGAGAAAGATCTCGCTATGTCCAATTCGATGCATATAGCGGCAATGTTTTTAAAGATTTTTAAGAAACGTAAAGAGACTGCTTAGACGTTGATTGTTTAATACACGGTATTTTGTCCAGTGTAACAAAGTTGACCACATCCACATGCCATTCCAAATTTTTACAAATATGGATTTTAACCAAGAGTTATTTGAGATTAAAGGTTCCCTGTTACTAAAATTTGACATTGGATTATGGTTTTCAATATTTTCGGTTGCAACAAACAGTGCTTTCCGAAAAGATTCTCCCCTACTTTTTTGAACGGGCCACGCTATACTGTAACTATCTAACACTGCAATGACTCATACGCGTGATCACACCCTGGCCGCCACCGGGCGACGGTACGGCTGTCGGGAGGCGTCAGGCTAGAACAGGGTGGCATTTTATACTCTGAGTGTTCGATTTATATATTCTAAATAATACACACTTTTTTCGGGTGTCAATATGTCCCACAATCATCTTGAGAAACTTTGATATTAGAATACAAGTATGTTAATAAACAAAAATTCGGAAAATATGGGCCTACCGTTTTGATTCATTTCTTTATTACAATTTTAATTTTTATATTATGCTCACAAGATCTCAAATATTTGTTAAAATAATCTTGAGCAAAACAGTTGACTTGTTTTAACGAGAAAGCTTCCATATAGCGATCTGCTCGAATAAATAAAATATTTAAAAATCACGATCGTGCTACTTTAATAAAATATGGGTCTTCAAAAGAACTAAAAAATTCACGGAAGCATATAGCGATCTCTTATAAACAATCCACAATAACATTTTTTATGAGAGAATAGTTATTTTCAATCGTCCTCTGGTGACCTTTTTAGGTCCTTGCCTGTTTCGGAACAGATGTCAAATGGCTTGGTTTGCTCAAGCGGTTGAGCTTTGGGCTTTCATCCCACCCCGCTCGGGTAATTTTCATTTTTTTTCCTTCAAGTAAGTTTGTCTGTTCGCCATGAGACGAAATCCCTCGAAAATTCGCCAAGTTATACTTATTATCCCGAGAAAATAATAGTCGGCTTTCTTTGCTAACTCAATATGGATTTTGCACTACGATTCAGCTGATGAACTATGAAAGTATAGCTGATGCCGCGCGGCATCCTGTTTGTCTGTAACACTATTGACTATCATGCGGGCGAAACTATTCTAGTAAGTAAGAACTTTACATTTTAGGGAAATATCTCATCTGCATTAATATTTTGTGTTACAACTTTTTGCAATTCAATTTTGTGGCCTTAAAAATTATAACGTATTGTTTTTCCATTGACGAGCTCGTCAATAATATTACCATAACTAAACTGAAAGGAAGAATGAAAACTGATTCCGGTCCTGAGATAAGATGACGCCTCAACGCTTCCACGCTACAAGGCCCGATACATTGGCGTAGTGCTTGGACTTGCTTCGTTGGGATATTGTTTGTTTTAGAAGAATTGTTATTTGGTTATCTCTGTTATTATTGTTCGGGTTATACTTATATTTACTTAGCTATGGAGGGTGAGACTGGGAGTGGAAGTACTGGAACCCTGGAACAAGCTTTGTGAAGCGCTGAAAAAAGACGCGAAAGAAATCATGCTCAACGTGTTTAATTATTTTAACAAAATTATGTCACAGGGAGATGCACTTACGCGTTGCGAAAGCATGACAGGCGTCCTAGAGTGGACTGTTTGCAGGGTGGTGCATGAACAGAAGAAAACTGGAGCTACTGCTGATCCAAAGTTCCATTTAGAGGGACGAAAGGCCATTAAACTAAATGGCGACAGCAAAATGGCGATAAGACGAACCGTACATTCATTCTTTATTAGGAATGATACACCAACGCTAAAGGCTATATATGCAAAGATCAAGAGTAATGACATTATACCTCCAGTGAGCGTCGAAATATTACAAAAATGTACCAAGTAACCGACAAGCAAGCATTGAAGGTTTGTCAACAGGTCTTCGTGCACCGTCAGGGAAAGGTCAAAGATTGATCGTTACACATATTGGAAGCGATAGTGGCTTTTTAGAAGGATGCAACTTGACCTTCGTCTCTAAGAAAGGAGGTGATTACCATGACGAAATGAATGCCAGCTGCTTCGGGGTGCTTCAGCGAGTTGAACTCAACTATGTGATCGCCATGGATAATGCTTCCTTCCACAGTCGTCGAGCCGAACGTGTACCAAATATGAGGTCTCTTAAAACTGAGATGCAGCAATGGATGCGCGAAAAGAGTACTACGTTTGACGATTCATGTGTGAAAGCGGAGCTGTATGAAAGAATTAAACATCACAAGCCTGCAAGCATTAGTTACGTGATTGATAAGCTAGCCCGTCATTGTGGTGTTACTGTGCTACGTTTACCGCCCTACCATTGTGAACTGAACCCAATAGAGCTCATCTGGGCTCAAGAGAAGTGTTATATTGCGCGCCATAACACAACTTTTAAATTACCAGACGTCAACGCGTTGCTAGAGAATCCCATACAGCTAGTAACGTTTTTCGTAGCAGAATGGTGTCCGTGAAGGAAGAAACAAAAATGTGGCAGCCTGACCACAAACATCGACACCATGATGGAGCCAGTTATAGCCAATCTTGGCGAAGAAAGCGATAGCGACAGCTTATCATTTTCAGATGGAAGTTGGAGCGACGACGAATGAAGAGAGGTAGACTCAATTAGCTCATGGATAATCAGTAAAAAAACTGCTTAAAAAATTCATCCCCGCCATTGACAACCCGACTACCGGTGGTTGAGTGATGTTCACGTGAACATTGATGAGTCATTACAGTTTTAGATAGCTATGGTATAGCAGCATGAAATTTGGGATGGCGAAATTTATGAAGGCATACCGACCACCATTCTGATAATAAACCTGACAGCTACTGCATACTACGTTTTAGTTTATTGTCCCTACGTGTATCATTTACTGCGTCTTAAAAAATTCTTTTCAATATTCTATATAAATTCTTCGTATTTGTTAAGATTGCCCTGGCATCTAGATAATCTGTTACACTTCTGGACAAAACGCTTATATGACAGCAATCACCATCGAACAACATTGTACAATCTGAGAATCTATAAAGCCAAAACATGTCATAGTGCCAAACTTTCACAGTCGTTTCTTTCTTTACCTTTTTGTGACACCCACTGTGAGGAACGGAAATCCGAATGTACATATAGGTTAGTAAGTGGTTTAAAGTTTCCCACACTATTCAATGTGATCGTCCTTCAATGTTTGGAGTTTGCTGAGGCACTAACACCGTCTTTGTGTGCCTACTGTAAGTGTTATGAGATATTTGAATGTTTTTTTTGTGGATATGTTTGAAAACGAAATGAGGAGACTATAGAGGTAATATTATAAAAAAGCGCAATTTTCCAAAGACAAGTTTCAACTCTATTTACTTGACGTATGGTTCGAAACTTTATACGGACATGGATTCCGTAATATAGATGCAATGGTGCCGCTGAGAGGAAAAATATGTTTTTCATATTTTTGTCAATAGCACTCCCATTGGTGCAAGAGTACAAAACTGTCGAAGACGTTGCTTTAATAGTGATTATTAATTATGTTTTATCAATATTAGAATTTTATAAAACTATGAGAACTCAAATAGCAATAACAATTCTTCTGTAATACTTCAAAACACGTGTTTAATTCAAAGCGCCCGTTTGAACCTAGTACTATTTTCTCTTCATTTCATTCAATTTGATCAGGAATGTTGACAACAGACGGTATCAGTATAAATATATGTCTTTTTGGTTACAGATCAAACCCAACAAGAAAATGGACAAGTCGATATGCCTTTTTTCGCGACAGAAGAGGGACGCTACTTGGCATCTTGTAAGTAGAAATAATATGCATTACTTATTATGGGGTATCTTCTACCGAAAGCTCTATCTAATTTCTAATTGCTAAAATAGATTGTCTACATTCTTCGAAGATGTTGCAGATTAGCCTTGTTTTTCAGCTACTCTTTTAAAAAACGTATGTGAGGTTCTTACACTGGAAGAGAGCTTATTTTCCGTATTTCACGACGAAGTAATTAGCCAATATAATTAGATTTTATTCTGCCACCAGATAATAAGTCTTATTTTCCTGATATCTGACAGATATCTAATTCGACAACAGAATGGTCAGATTCTAAGGATGGAGGACCCGCTTCCCGAGTCATTCTCGAGTGATAAAGAGCGGTAGTCTCGCCTTCGACCATCATTTTTCTTTCTCTGAAGTTGAGTTTGTAACTGAACATTTGATAATATGAAGAACCCAGGAGCATATTATTTTGCCGAAGATGGACGTCTTCACATATTTACGTGAAATGTCAACAGCCGTCAGAATTCGGGATCGTTCCCCAGGGAAAAGACCTACTCCCCCACTCTCTCTCTCTCAGTGATTCTTCTACTCCTCCCTCGCTTTGAATCACTCATCCACAAACAAATAAAACAATATACTTTTTGGAAGCAAAATATTATTATTCATTTGAAATGAAATTTTTGAAATATTCCCCATAATCACACACCCTAGTGAGTTAGGAACTGCATCAGCAATAGCCTCCTGGGATAGACCTTAGTCTCGAAGGATATTCTATAAGCCAATATCATGCTTGTTGTTGTTTGTCTGGATTTCTCGAATATACTAGTGTAACTTCTAACTTCATGTTGTTAGCCCTAGGAGACCCCCTAATAAAGGGTCTAACTGAAGTTGCCAACAAGCGTCCCGATGACCCCATAGCCTACTTAGCTCAGTATCTGTACAATTTCGCTAAGGAACCAGAAAAAACGGGGGTCAAAACTCAGGTAAGCCTAATGGAAATTTGGAACTTACGAATATAAACTTTGCACTTCTATGATAGACAAGCATGCACCTGTTAGGCTATGTTGACAACATAGACAATACATCATAATTTTTTGATTGATCGTAGAGATCAATGTCACACTGAATGTCTACATGTAAAGTGCTGTCATCTTATGGGAGATCTTACAAATTGAGAGGAAGTCTCCCATCCGTCTGATATGATTAAACATAGTCTAACATATGTACATGTAAATCGCATGTATAGCTGCGATAGCATGAGAACTGATGAATGACCAACAAAACTTTTTTCAATCGTAACCATTTGCAACAATACCAGGATAACGTGAAGAGTTCTCGGCCCGACTAAGAAAGACTGCGATTTAAAGTTAACAAATGAATTATTTTTTTACATAATCCTTTACGGCTCCAACACACTTGATCCAACGTTTCTCCATTATTAGGATTCTTTATTGAAAAGGGTGACAAAACATTTATCTAGGACCGTCTCAACTTCTTGATTGAACCCGATGCGCTTTTCAGAAAAAAATCCTAAGCTTTCTGTAAGTTGGAAGTGCCAAATCAAAATAGGTAACGGTCGGGCAAGTCATATCCCAATTCTCGTAGTTTCCCCACTGCTAAGACATCTTTGTGAGTAGGTGCATTGTCCTGAAGAAAAATGATCTTCTTCTTCAAGCCCCAAATTTAAGCATTTTCAACGTAATCAATTAACAGAATCCTCATTTATCCCAAAATACACTGGCCATGACCACTCCGGTAGGTGCAATCGACTTCACTTTGGTGCTGAACGTCTGGCTTCCACCCACTGCGTCGACTTCTGTTTTGTTTCTGGCATGTAGTCGTGGACCCACTTCTCATTTATAGTGACGAATCGCTACACAAAATCAGTCGAACCTCTATTGAAAGACGTATACGCATTCGATTTGGATCGGCATTCAGCAAATGCGCACTCAACTTACGCAGAGCTTTCGCATCCTGACTTATTTGTGCAAGATGTTTCGCACCCTTTCTTCCGATATCCCCATAGCCTCGTCTATCACACTCATCTACACATGCCCAAACTTATTTCGTCTACAGTCCACTTTGAGAATCAATTACTTCCTAGTGCGCCCTCCGAAACTACGTTACTTTAAATATACTTAGTTTCAAGTACTTACAAAAGTACTAATTAGCATCGCCTCACCGATTTATTCTAGGCTCTTTAGAGCCCCTCGTACCTATGGAGAACCTCCTCAGCGCCCACTTTGAGAAAAGCTGATCTAATGCGTTATCGTGTATCTTTTCGATGGTTTCAAGTGTGATTGCGGTTTTTAACCATCCTTCACGTGGACCATCTCTAAGGCTCACATTTCAATAGTTTTTTGTTAACTGTAGAAGAATTTTCATGGGGGTTAATCCAGGCAACACGAAAGACAGGCACTACAAGAATTCGTTTAGACAAACTACTTGGGAGAACAATTTAAAATTGTTATATGAACAAATGACATGTACACTCATACAGGAATTCTACAATGAAGACTGATAGGAGATCAAACTCATGGAGTGGCGGTGAAGAAGAAAATGTCGACAATGCAGTGAATTGGAACACTGCGCACCAAATGAATTTGATGTGGCATCTCTCTCTCTCTCTCTCTCTCTCTCTCTCTCTCTCTCTGTTGCTGTCAGCATCATAATAAATAGCATCAATTTTGACAGTCCGGACGAATTGCAGGCAGAAATATTGAATATTAACAAACCAAGAAATAATAAACCTACAAAGCTGGCAAAACGTCAGTGAAGTGCACATAACGATTGCAGCAGGTTATGTTGACATTTTCCAATGGGCGGACGCTCTGCGCTATATTCCACCCCCGAGAGTCACACCATTGTTGGTGACAGGATTGATTTCATATGAATATACGTACCCCTTACGCAGTTTAACCTCTTATCCGTAGTATTCGATAATTATACATTTTCGCTGATTGAAGCGCAGTTTCTGCAGAACTGTTCACCTTATTTTCGTATTTCCACAGTTTCTTATCATTTTGAAAGACATGTTATACAGTTTTGTTCTTTTAGTAGAATCCACAATATCAATGGCTCTATTTCGTAGGAAAATCAGCACGAAAGGCTAATAACTGGTTCACCAACAAACGATGATGGTAACAAATCAGTGCCTGCGAGTATTGATGTAGTGACAGTGGAACCAGAGGAAAATGATGAAGAGGATTCTGCTTTCAATAGCACTAGCAGAGTAGGTTCACTGTTTAAACAATTTTTCAGAAAATGTTGGTTTCTCGAAAGCATTACACGCGTAAATAAAAATCATTTTGGCTCTGACAAGAATTAAAAAATATAAGAATTATAAAAAAGCCGGTGTGATGTTCTTCTCTACAAAGATCATTAAAGAGGAGTTTACGTTTTGTTCGAGGTTATCAAAGTTTTGAATTCCTAATTGATATATAATTTTTGATGCAAAACTAAATGTGTTATTTATAAGTTATTTGTAAAACCTGTAAATTGTGTCTAAGCTGATTAGCTTTTTTGGTCCTACGCGGGAGATTCCACGATTTGGTTTGCTATCAAAACTATAAAGAAAATTGTTAGTTTGAAATTACAATTTTGTCTAACCTCAAACACTCTACCATCCCCGCGTTAAGAAGCAAATACGAGGGTTGATCCAGAAATTAGGTTCCTAAAGATCTCCAGTCACACTGGAAGGTGCGAGACGAAATCTGGTATTATCGCTGAGCGCGGCTGTTTAGAGTTAACGACTGATTTGTATGTCATCCGTAATAAGATAATGTATGCATTTTTAGGATGAGCATGGCCAGAGCATGTTGCATTTTGCTGCAGCGAGAGCGCATGGTAGAAACGCCCTCTTTCAGCTTCTGATTGAAACTCAGATCAACATAGCGTTTAGAGACGAACTGTATAGAACAGCTAGAGATATCAGCATTCAGGCTAATCTGCCTGAAAATACTTCTGAAATTGATAGATACGTATTCTACATAGCTACTAAAGGTAAGGTTTGGTTATTTGCACATAGCTAATGAAATCTTATTTGATGTACCTACACCGGATGTTTAAAATTTGGTCTCCCGCTTTTGGGAAGCGGTAAGTGATACGAAGTCGCCTAAATCGGGCCAATGTTGCGCGTTTAGGTAACTAAGAAAATGGCACTCAGTAAGTTGCACAAATCCGAAAGAAACAGAATTTTCCCAAAATTGTCTTAATTCTTTCCTGAATTTATTTAAGATGCGATTTCAAAATGAAAATCACATCAATACTGCCATGTTTTCCCCTTTACAAGGTGGCATCATCAAAATTCAAATATCTCGTTTAGTTCTTTGTCACCAACCATCAACTTTATTTTACGTTTTTTCTTATGGTCGCCATATTGGATTTATGCACAGGTAAATAGGATCTTTAATTCTGATTCCAAAATGTTTAGTATGTCCTACATTGACGTTGTCAAATCTAAAGCATTTTAAAGAAACTAATATTTTCATAGTTGGCATTGAACATAACATGTTATCACATGCTTATCCGGTTAAGTCACCAATGGTTCAGTTTCTGAGAAGCGCATTTTTCACCAAAAAAGAAGCGTTACATGAGCTCTACATAACACCTTAGCCGTAGGTTAATAGTATTTGAATGTAAGATGTGTGCATCGGTTTAGATATTGCAGGTATGGAATGTGTTTAAGAAACTGCAACATCATCCAGGCTTTTATTTACTCTACTATGTTTCTATAAGTTTCATGAAATAACAGTGTTATCCTTTAAGAATATGAAATAGTTTTAGCATTACGTTGTTCTTTATTCTATGAGCTAACAACTATGGGAAAATTACTCTTCAGACATTTGAAGTTATATAATATTAGTCCGTTTCATAATCTGTACAAACATCTGTATAAAATCGTAAACGGGGATTGTTCACGTCATGAAAACTGAAAGAATGCTTGGCTGATGAAATGAAACAAATGACTATCCGATGATTTTAAGGCCTACTTAAGAAATCTGCCTTTTTGGAATCAGAATTGAAAAACTTTATTAACCTGTGCAAAAATCTAATTTGGCGTCTATGAGAAAAAATAAAGTGTAAAAATGTACTTTTTATTCTGAAATCAAAGTCCAAATAAAGTCACGAAAAAATAAAACCGATTTTGAGAGAATTCGGTTTCTTTCGTCTAGCTCCGGAAAATGCAAAAATATGAAAATGTTAATGTGATCTTTGATAAAATACATTAGTGTGTACCAAAAAATATTTGCTGACGTATAAAAAATGTATATTTTGACGTACCGAATTTTCCGTTCAGTTTCTCTGACAACATTTTGTAACACCCTGTATATGAATACAGCAACATCTAGTGGTTTATGAAATATTTCACCAAATGTGTATAACATTGAAAACGTCACCGGCACGAGACACTATAAATATGCGGTCATAGTTCAACCTAGTGATATTCTGAAGAGGCATGAAGAATCTGCAAGTCCGGCTGGGTTATAACGTATTATGTAAAAAACACAAAATGTCACCTTGTTGACTAGATAACTGGTAATGTGAAAATACAGTCAAAATCACGAAAGATGATTATTACGTCAATGATAAAATCACAATCTCATGAATTTATATTATGATTTTGCGAAGTTAGGTTATTTCACTGAATATTTTTATTTCATGGTTTTAAGTGATACCTTAATAATAAGTTTAGTGGGGAGTTTTTGTTTCGAAAAAAACAGTTATGAGTGAATACACCTTAAGACATTAACATCAAAGACCAAATTATTATTCGAAAACAACCTAACCTGCTTTAACATAACCTAACTATTCATCTTTCAAATATGATCGATCATGCAACATGAAAACATCGTCTATCTTTTTCGGATACATGCAAATTAGCAATACAGTTTGTTTAGACAATAAAATTCTGTTTTTCTCTGTCTAACATGTTTGAAACTTCATTAAAAATATTCACAATTCGCTAAGGTTTGTCTTTACTACAGACTAAAATGATGACGTAATAGTCATCTTTCGTGATTTCGACTATAGTTGATTCCGCGCTTGCTACAAGTGAGCATGAAGTAAACTTCAACTAATTCCTAGTTCATATCTTGTAGGAAAACCTACATAATGTTAAAAAAGCCGACATAATGTCACTTTTCAAGTAACCTAATACCCTTGCTGACTTGGGCTTGGGATAAGTTCATATGACGCGCGTCCGATGTGTGTTCACTTGGTGCTCACTTTGAAAATACAGAATTAATATGCCCACATGAAAGCGCCTACGATGCCACGAGACGTAGCGTATCTCAATATGCAAGTCGCTCAGCGTGGACCCGCGTCTTGAGATACTAGGCATTGCTATTACCTGTTCAGTTGGCGCTCGCCTTTCGTTGCGTTCAATCAGTTCTACCGTATGGATTTGAAACAGAAATAATTTAACAGACCTTTTCATCAATGAATTTGAAAAGTGGAGTGCAATTTGGGAAATTCACTACAAGTTACATTCAAATAAGACAGCAAATATTTTATGCAAATCCAATGATACCGAATAAAAAAGAAAATATTAGATAGGTTTGTTCTAAATGCCTCATTACAGTAAAGACAATAATTCAAATCATTCTATCGCACCTTTCAAGGATTTTATTGACGTTCCAAAGTAATTTAAGAAATTCGGTTTATATTTTTGAAGGCTGGGCCATGGTGTAAGGTATAAACGTCTAGACAGTCTATTTGCCAAGATCCGATTGAACCCAGTATGAATTTTCCCTTCTACGTCCTTTATGCTTTCGTATGTTAACCAAGCATAAGTAGCTTCTTTCGCATTCATTCTCACTCACTAAACACAGTAAACTGACACTCTGTCACGTAGTCCCTCTCTATATAGGATTTGTACGCGTGCCACGTGAACACCGACCCAACAAACTCGGGCCACGTCGACGCGGATCATCTGAACTAAGACTAGCTTTAATATTTCATCGCTCATTTTGTCGGCCATTCTTCCACTTTTCTGATCCAAATTGAACTAAGCTACTATTTTTAAGTGATTTTTGGATATATGCTAATATAGGATATTGATTCCTTACCTAGGTGACACAGAAAAATTAGTGGAGTTACTCTTAGACGGATATGATCACATAACTGACATAGTAGATGATGAGGATCAACCAATCATAGAAGCAGTTTCGAAGGCAAATCAACCAGAAACAGTCTCTTTTCTCCAGTCCATATTGACTTTTGAGGTAGGACATATATGTAATAAATAGAATCACTAAAATTGGAATGTTTGCCTAAATAAATTTGCAGTTTTAAACAGCTGAATTAGAGCTGGTTACATATCGCTCACCGGCTGCAATAGCGGCACAAATCAAAAAAAACCAAAATCGTACTTTCAATCGCGAATCATCCATCAATATTCACTTCATCTCCTGCAATACTGGCACAACCGTATATTGTGATAGAAACCGCTAGATGGCACTTGTGCCGTTTCCGAATTTTAGTTGATCTTCCTTGCATCTACGGGCAATACCGACACATCTACCCAGTAGCGTGCCAGTAGCCTTGCGGAAGTTGTGTGGGACGCACGTAATAGTGACACTTAAGGCTGAAAACCGTCATTTTCCTAAATCCTATTTTGTGCAGGTAAGCAATAGCGACATATTTCAAGATGTGCCTTCATTGCATCAAAGTAGTGGACAAATTTTATTTACACTGGTAAGCAATAATAGCATAATTCGAAATGTGCCTTTCTTGAACCTAGATAGTGGTCAAAGCATATTTATGCAAGCTATCACTAGTGGCATATTTCGAAATATGCCATTATTGCACCCAAACTGTGGTCAAATTATATAAGCGAATACGGTAATATTGCGATATGTGCCATTCTTGCATTGTATGTTATGCTACAAAACTGATAAGTATTTTCCAAAGCCTACGCAAACAGAAATCTGTTTTGTATGATGTAGCTTATTTTTGTGGCTGAAAAGTAATGACAAAAATTGCTCTCGCAATTTTGAAAATTGTTTGTGTCTTTATGATGTTTATTGATCCATTTTAAAGAAATTTATAGCATTCAAGTATTAGTAGTATACATTGTTTCAGTTATTGTCGGGTACAATGGATAAAACGAGGAGCGCAAAAATGCTCTCTATGGTAGGGATCAAATTAAAGAAAGGACCCACCAGCGAAGAGTGGAAGATAGTACCTCAAGCTACTAATGCAGACTCAACCAGCGTAACGCCTAAAAACATAGAACGAGCTTCAGAAAGTGAAGCGGACAAAGAAAACACATCTCCACAAGTCCCGGAAGCTTCTGTTAGGAGTAAGAAATTTGAAAAGATGGTGATTGCAAGCTTGTTGAAAACCAAATAGTAGAGGAACTAGGCGTAGGAAGTCTTTTTCCATCAGATAATTGCAGAATTCAAGAAAGAGAAGCAGTTTTAGATGGAGAGTCATGTGCTACAACTACGCAAGAGCTCTCGGAGGCGGAAAAAAGCAGAGACGAAATTGGAACTGGACAAGAGCATTTGGACTTAGAAGATCCTTTTTCATCTGACGATTCAATAATGGATCCTGACTATGAAGAACCAGTTGTATCACAACATTCTCAATGCCCGACGGAATCATGCACAGAGAAAAAGAAGAGTAGGAAGAGAAAAGCAGAGCCCTGTGAATGGAAAAGAAATAAAACAAAGCTATTAAGGAACAGTGGACAAGAATACCACACCTTAAACAAGAATAAACCAGTATCTAGTAGACAAATGACACAACCCTGTGACGGCACTTGCAAGCTAAAATGTACAGCAAATTCACTGAAGAGGATAGGAAGTTCCTGTTCACCAAGTTCTGGAATTTAGCCAATATTAACAAACAGAGGGTGTTTATTGCTACTCTGATGCAAGAAATCACACCAAAATACACGTATCCCATTCTAATCAATGGCAAACGAAAACGAACTAATAATAATTCGTTTCATTTGGAAAAAGGAGAAGAGAAACTTAGGGTTTGCAAGAAATTCTTCACATCAACTTTTGGCATCAGCAATCGCTGTATTCGGAGTGTCATATCGAAAAGAGCTGAAGGTGATTTTGAAGACAAAAGGGGGAAACATGGTAATCAAACCCGAATATCTGATGAAATTAAAAATGATGTTCGTGCTCATATTGCATCAATACCTCAAATAGAGAGTCACTATACAAGAGCTCACAGTGAGAAAAAATACATAGAAGGTAGCAAAACTATCACTGATTTATACAGAGATTACAAAAAAGATTGCGTTGCTAGAGGTAAAGCAACGGCAACACTGACTATGTATAGAAACATATTCAATTATGAATTTAACCTAGAATTTTTCATTCCTAAAAAAGATCAATGCCACACGTGCGTTGCCTATGGCAACGCAAATGAAGGGGAAAAGAAAGAATTAGAAAAGCTGTATGAGCAACACCAAAATGAAAAAAAATTAAGCAGAGCAGAAAAACATGCCGACAAAGAAAAAGTCAGTGATAAATACCAGGTTTGTTGTTACGACTTACAAGCTGTTCTGCCATGTCCTCAAGGAGATGTTTCTGACTTTTATTATAAATCAAAACTGTCGACGTATAACTTCACTATGTGTGATTTGAATAAAACGGGACAGGGACAAGTGGTGTGTTTCATGTGGCATGAGGGTCAAGGAAGACGCGGGTCTAATGAAATTGGTTCATGCTTACTAAAATACCTTGAATACAAGGCTTCTGCTCAAGAAAATGTAGAAGTAGTTTTTTATTCTGACAACTGCGCTGGACAGCAAAAAAATAAATTTATTCTCGCTGCATATTTTTATGCATTATCAAAATACAACATAAAATCAATTACACACAAATACCTTATAACAGGACATACGCAGAACGAAGGCGATAACGTTCATTCGGTTATTGAAAAACATGTTAAACGTGCCCTGAAATCAGGTCCAATATATACACCTGACCAGTACGTATCACTGGTTCAGACAGCCAAAAAGACTGGATTACCTTACAAAGTCCAAGAAATGAGCTACGCTGATTTTGTAGATCTAAAAAAGTTATCTGAACAGACATCTTTTAACTTTAAGAAGGACTCTTCCGGTGAGGTTGTAAAGCTGGCTAATGCAGCCATCATAAGGATAGAAAAAGAAAATCTAGATAAATTTTTATACAAAACTTCTTATAGTGAGCCTGAATATAGAGTTGTTGAGATTAAACAAAGAACTACCCGAACCAATCAAACTTTCGATAATGTGAAGTTGGAACCGGCTTATCGAGATATACTTCCGATATCAAAAAAGAAGTACGATGGACTGATGTCCCTGTTACGCATGAATACTATAAAGAAATGTTATACCCCATTCTATAACAGCCTTAAAGTATCCAACGATGTCGATTAGTTTCTCTTTAAAACTTCTGTATCATAAAATTATTAGCTAGAATTTAAGTTGCGCGTACCTTTCATTTCCAAAAAAGTTACAAGTTCATTTGTTTCAAAAGTACATTGTTTAGTTCTTTATAAGATTTTTGTATCGCATTTTAATATGCAGGTTCTGTTGTTGAGCGATAATTAAAATTTTGAAAAGTATGATACTGAGTATTTACCATGCTCCAACTCCAAAAATGACAACAATTACGTTCATAAAACGGCACAAGTCAAAATTTAAAAAAAACAAAATGTCATATTTAAAAGAGAACTCAAATTCTGATTGATATTATGTATTGTAATTCCAATGCCAGAAAATCCGTATGAAAGCGAGATCACCTAAGAGTCACGTTACACGTCAAAATAATTAAATTTGTTTTGGCTATTCTTAAACCAGCTATATCTCGAAATTATATAGTTTTGATTTGTGGCAATGTTGCAGCCGGTGAGCGATATGTCTCGATGAATAATACTATAGCGTAAACTAGAACTTTGGGGTACCCATGAGTCGCCCTCTCAACATCGACGCTTAGGCAACCAGAATTACGCGACCGTATATGGAGCGCGCTCGCGTTTGTGAGCGTTTCTGTCAACGCTGGAAAGACCGAGCTGATTCTATCCACTGTGAGAAGAAAGCTTGACGGACTTGTCTTGCCGAGCTTTGGGACTACACTAGTTCTATCCCAATCGGTAAGGTATCTAGGAATTAGGAGTGTACATTGAATTAAAATGAGCATGTTGGGTACAAGAATAACAAGGCTCGCAATTCATTGTGGGGTTGCAGACGGGTTGTTGGAGTGAGACAGGGGCTTAAACACAAAGTGGTGCACTAGTTCTATACGCTGATAGTACGTCTATCTCTTTTGTATGGATCCTTGGTTTGGTGGCCTTGCATTGGGACCGAGATAATTAAGGCCAAACTCAACAAAACCCAGCATTTGGCTTGTACCAGTATAACAAGCGCAGTGCGTACAACACCATTGAGTGACACGGAACATCCGCTGGATCTCCCACCGTTGGATCAAATGATACGCGGAAGAGCCGAGAGTAGTCGCACATCGATTGTGGAGTCAGGGCAGCCGGGCCTTTATGAATCCTGACAAGGGTTGCACTGCCATCTTAGTCGAAGTGTAAATGGAGGATCCCGTACTTCGTTTTGGCCGCAAGTTAAATGTGGGGCATCCGACGAGGGCAGAGCGGGATTCCGGTAGATCTCCGAAGTAAGTGGGTAGGTCTGGTACACGGACGGCTTAGTTATTGAAGAGGGTTCTGGAGCCGGGGTCTTTGGGTCTAGAACTGGGCTCTCACTGCCTTTCGGAGGATGTACCACTATTTTCCAGGCGGCAATCTATGCGATTCTGCCTTGCGTATCCCGCATTTTGAAGGGAGGAGGGCCTACGAGAAGGATAAGATCCTTTACCGACAGCCAGGCTGAGATGAAGGCACTAGGTGCCCGCCAGCTTACTACGAGCCTTGTATTGCAATGCAGGGCGGCTCTAGATAGATTAGCAGCGAGGCATCCAGTATCTTTAGTGTGAGTGCCGGGCAAGCTTGTTGGTTCTGAGCCAGCCCAAGGGCTGCTCGTGCAAAGAGTCAGGACGGTAATGGAGAAGTGGATTGCTAGACATCACGCTCTCAAATGCTTATCTTTGGATAGAGCCAACCTAAGGTTGTTGGTGGGAGTGCTTCCTAGCCATAACACGATACCTGCATGTAATGGGTGTGGCTGAAGATCCCATGTGTAAGCGCTGCGAAGTAGAGGAGGAGTCCTCGGTGCATGCAGACTATACTGGGATATAACACTTTGGATACCTAGAATGTTAAGGAGCTGGGACTCAACTTTGCTAGAAGGGCGGAACTTGAGGCTTAGAGAATGTAGTGGTGCATAAGAGCCCGTTATGTGGACCATTCGCCGGTTCCTCATAGTGGCCGCTGGGCCTATAATCTTTCTATTCATTTATTCATTCAGAAGTGTTTACATATTTTTGATACTGTAGCGTCCTCGTAAACGAGAACTTTGGTATACCGATGAGATGCCTTGCAAAATGTACGCCTAGGCAACCAGAATTACGCGACCGTGTATGGAGTGCTTTGCCATTCGAGAGCCTTCGACACTTATCGGAAAAAAATCTACCGCCAACCAAGTATCGATGAAAGCTCGTGGTCCATCTAGTAGGCTCTGGATTGGTCGATTTGAAATAAATAGGCGCCACGACGCCAGAAGGACAGAGCTTTTTGTGGCGCTGATTTGGAATATGCGCGAAAGAAAGTTTGGGGCTTCCAGATGGTCTTAGCAAAATAATGACATTAAATTTGACCGATTTATCAAATGAACAGTTTTCGAGCGAGATTGCAAACATGAGAATTTTAATATTTTATTCAATCGTATGCCTTTAAACTTAGAAGTTTTTGTATGCAAAATTTGCATTTGTATTGAAAAAATACTAGTGAATGCGCTTTTCGGAGGCTAAATATTGTGATAGGACTCCCTTGTCTGGCCGAGTCAGAACACATACCATATATGCTTAAATTTCAGCCTTGTACGACATTTTGGCCACCAGTGGACATACTTCGCAGAATCTCAACATGTTACAGGACCGTTCTGACTGTTGCAGCAACAGACTGCATAGGAAACTAAAAAGGAAAAAAGGAAGAAGAAAAACGAAATGTCACCTGGAAGACAGATAAAATATATTACTATTATCAAAATGATGGCTGAAACGTCGTACAATAAACATTAATTTAAACATATATGTGGTTGGGTTAAGCCAAACAAGTGAGTCCTGTGAAAATGAAATTCACAGAATAAGTTTCAGGAGCTACATCAAAATATTGCTAATCCGCCGAAATACAGTTTTTGAAAATACCCGATTTCGAAATACTGACACGATGCTATTCAATATACATATAGTAAGACGCGTGATTTAATGCTATTGTTTTAATGTAGGAGAAAAGGGAAAGAGTGCATCATGCTATACGTCAAGGTTCCATCAATGACGTTACTACTTTACTTGCCGATGAAAATGATACAGGAAGTGGCAGGCTGTTGTCCATAGGTAAAAACAGCTATGGTAGATGCACTCTTCATATTGCTGTCCTCTGCCAACAAGAAGAAATCGTAGACTATCTTGCTAATAGTTTTCCAGATACTCTCAAGTTGGGCGATAACGTAAGTAGTACTTAATATTATTCTCATAGAAAATTCAATATGAAGCTCCATTCTTTAGATCAATGTACCACAATTTTCAACATTTTACTTCCCACGCAGCTGGCGAGGAACTTCTGCAATCGCGAGAAATTGAGATATGTTTTCACGAATAACTCTGTCACTCATTTTCGTCGGCCAGTCTGCCTGTCCGCTAATTATTGACCCCTCAATAACTTAGAAAGTACCGCTTGGATTTTTATGACACTTTTTTTTTATACTCCAACTACCACGAAGGCCTAAGGCCTAAACACCCCTTGGGTACTGTGGGGCTATAGGGGGATACAGCGGAAAGGGGGGACGCCACACGGACTCTGGCGAGGGAACACGTGTGCATGCAACATGCACACATTCTGGCTCCGCCTACGAGATCCCCCGGGTGGTATCTCCGCGTTCGACATTCAGAGACCGTCTACCACCTACGGACAATCACAACATCCATAGCCAAGAGAAAAATTTCTCCTGGGTCGCGATTCGAACCCGCACAGCGCACGGCGACTGATCAGGAGACCGAAGAGTCTACTACTGCGGCCACCGCTGCTGCCTGACAAGGCTAGTACTATATCAAGGTTGGAAAAGCCATGTAGTTTTTAAAATCAATTCTGAGACTTCGAAGTTATGAGCAAAAACAAAAAAAAACATTCATGCCCATTGAGGCATGGGGTGGGGGAGAATCTATCCCAATTCTTTGCCGTTTCTAAACCCGGTAATTCCAAGAACATATTTCACGCATAAATTATACAGGATGTCCTGAAAGTTGGAACGTTCCTTTTCAAAAACAACTACGTTTGAAATAACAAAGTTAATTTGCGTTAAAACAGCACCGAAATCGCAAAATAAAAACTGAATAAAAATACTCACTATGTCCACCCAGACGACTTTTGCACGGTATAAACGCAGCTCTGATGGAAATATCGCATGTATCAATAGGATCTAGAAAACTCTCTCAGTAAATTAAAATCATAGGAGTATCGATAGCTACGTGATTGCTGTAAGAATGTGCCAATCTCGGTTTTCAAATGCGGTTAGTTTATAAACTAGGTTAACACCGCGAGGTGCTTGATTTAATTATTGACTCACATAATCATAGTACCACGAAACATCATACCCTCTGACGCAAGAGCGGAGGGAGGCAGGATCGGAGTTGCTCATTTGGAGTTTTTCGGTACGTAATATCTCTGTTACCATGAAGCTTTGGTATGTGTGTTACTAGGAAAACTTGCTTTTTATTGACTGAACTATATGTACTGTAAAAAGTCACAACTTTGAGGACACCCTGGGTACTGCTTTATAAAGGACAGTGTTCAGAATTGAAATGAACGAACGGAAAGAGAATTTCTTTCATACGGGCCGATGAGACATTGGCAAGAGGAAACTTTGTATATTATGATTACGTATCAGACCGAACGTTTTTGATGAGTGGGAATAGCAAATTTTATTCAGAGGGAACTAAATCTTAAAAGCATTTAAATATAGCTAAGGGAAATACATTTGGGGAATGTTTTGGAGTTGAGGCGAAACCGTAGAATGTCCTTTCGGTCTGATTCCACAGAAACGTCTCTGTAGCAGGAAAGACTGCTGCGGACAAGAGCCACAACTCCCCCGTTCTTTCTCAGATGGACTGCACCTCGTAATTTGGGAAGCTAAGATGATTAATCGGTGCAGACCCTGAAATGTTTGTCTCCGCCAAGAAAAGCATGGCGGGACGATTGGATTGCAGATAGTGATGAACAGCATCAATGTTGCTCTTAATCCCTTAGATGTTCGTGAAATAAATTTTATCCTCGATGTTGTTCCCTCGAGTCCACCGTCCACCCGGACATTCCGAGAGTGGGGTGAGCTTACGTCAGGAATTCTTAATACTCGAGGATCCATCATCATTAGTTTCTTTGTTGGGGAAGATGACCCACTGCGTAGCTTAGGTGTGGAAACATGCTAACATTTATAAGACACCTTGGGAAAGCTAGCGGGTGGTACCGCCTCGGTCGACTGGTTCTTGTCTACCACCTTCCTTTTACTTGTTGATGATGTTAAATAGACCTAAAGTGGTCCGTTGGCGGACTTGTACCGCCACCCGGCAATCGGTACTGAGGTATTTCTTAACGCGTGTACAATCACTTGAACGGGAAGAAGTTGTATACTGAATACAACAGCTTCCGGAACAAGAATTTGCCACGGCCCCGCTCAGTAGGGCGAGGTTTAACGAATAACTTTTGTTTTCATATTGCTGTAAATCATAATTTTTGAATCATAATTTTTGCGGGTAAGAAGCAAATATCTCTCAGAGATTAAATCGCAATTTTTTTTTGTAATCGGGTCAATTGTTTTGGGTGACACCTTTTTAAATATATCATTTTTTCATCCTTTTCTAGTTGGAAAGAACAGCCCTTCACTACGCTATGGGGGTAGAAAAAATGGAGACAATAAGCAAAGTCCTCATCAAAGCAGGGGCGAAAAGAGTAGTGAAAGACTTGAAGGGAAGACAGCCTACGTATTACTTCTTGAATAAATCTGATATACTCAGACTACAAGAGGAAGAAGAAACCTTTTAGGAGATGTAAGAATAAGTCAAAAAGGCTGGAACCAGAGTACGCAATAAATGAACTAAAGTAGAGCAGGGTTCCCATATTAACATCATTTAGTCTATAGGAGCTAAATTAAAAGTACCAATAAGGCAAGAACGGGAATTTTTCATTCATATGTAATGGTTTTGAAAGGTACATATCTTAGCATAAAACAAAAAATTCCCTATAGGAATACAGCTCTTCTCGAAATTTCCTATTTCCATTTTATATTGGGACTTTTAATCTTATGTGCATATACAGTTTGATGACATTCAGGTATATTTCATAAAATGGGCTACTTTTATGACTTATTCCAAAACTAAATTATACAATTTACAACTAAACCGTATATATCTATAACCCCTTTGTAATCCTGTCCTAATCATAATACAGTAGTTATATTTATATTTTTGTACACACTAAGCTCCCCAGTACGTTAGTTACACACTACACATTTCTGAATAAAATGTAAGAATAATATACCAATGATTTTCTCCACGTCTTACTATTAATTGTAGATCAATAAGGTTTGAACATACATTTTCAAAAACAATGCTCGCATGCATTTTCCAACGATATGCATTTTATTATCTTTTACCGTTCATGTGTTGAAAGAAAACATCAGTTAATATAATTTTTTTTGTTTTTATTCCGGATACTAATAAAATGTAGATAATATTGATTGTCGGATTTTAAAAGTCTTGCTTGTGTCTTGTATGTTGCAAGCTATTTGAAACTATGTGTTCAAACTTCTATACAGGATGTTCGAAACATAGACAGAGATATTTCGGAGGGTGATTCCTTGTTAAAAAATATGGGAAAAGTTTCTATGAATACGGGTCCGGAAATGCAGAGCTTTCAAGATACTGGTTGATAAATTCGAAAAAAAACGTTGTCCTTTTTAATTTATTATCTTAAAAAATATTTACTCGATTCTGTTGAAATTTGGCAATAATATCTTTTGTATAAAGAGGCTAATTTAGCCCTAGAATTATTAGGTTCAGTGGCGTCCCGGGGGGCACCCTTAGCGAATACATATTATTGACTAAAAAATTTACGCCACTGCATTTTTTGTAACTTTTGTACTTGTTGTTTGATTAAGCATATAAAGATACAACTTCTTTGCCTCTAGTAATTTTTTCGGAACTCATTTCGTTTTCGAGAAAAAAAATAAAAACCGTTTTATTGCATGTCACTGGACAAAATTAGCTTATTAATTCAAGCACAAAAAATCATTCCCTTATAGAGGTTTGACATTTGCGCGTCACTCCTAGAATAGAACTATTCACGTGATTTTATTCGCCACATTTCTCAAAAAAATTTAACTTTTATTTTCAATTGATCACCTTGAAAACTCCTTGAATTCCGAATCCATGTTTATAGAACTTTTTTTCATGATTTTTAACAAGGAATTACGCTCTAAAATATCTTCGTCTATTTTTCGAACACCCTGTATGTATGCTTCGGATCTATGAAAACAATGTGATGGACTTTAGATAACTAAGGTTTTAGTAGAGCTTACTATAGACAGTTTTGTATTGTCAATAGAATAAGGGCACATGTAGCCTTCTTGTTTATATATCTAAACTTCGTAATATATTGTGTTATTTTGAGATACTTATTTCTTATTAGCGTCGACATTCCTCCTAAAACACCAAAATTTTTATTTTCCACTTCACGATGTAAGCAGGTAAAGAAGAATCTCAGTAACCTCTATACCGATTTACATTCATTGTGTTGCTCTTGGACCTGTCATTGTCAGAACGGTTCGCAGGTCCTTTACTCTCGATTAAAATCTTGCAGATCAGTAGGTGTGTCAGGTGTGGTTGATCAGATACCAATCAGTCAGGGACAAGGAAGTACGCACTGATTAAATACTTACGTAGAGGAGGATCGAACGGAGACAAAATTTATACTGATATGGTAGATCTGTCAGGGAGTAGTGGTGGCAGATATTTCACGAACTGTGATTTAGTAACTAATAACGAATCACGACTGTTATCAAATACCGCGGAAAATCGTTTACGTTGGAATATGCGTGAGATGCGAATGCGCACTAGCCGCTAGAATCGAGAATCGTAAACCACCAGAAGATTACTTCCTATAGGCTGCAAATGAAATTGTGCCTTATACTCTTTGGTAGGTGGCTCCATGCGGTATTTGGCTCAGGATATCAGTATACCCATAATCATCGTTATTCGAAAGTCGTGATCATATCACGGTTTTAAATCACTGATATTAAAAAGTATAATGAAATCAGATATCACAGACGTTTAAAAATAATAATAACAAAGAAAAATATCTATAAGGTGGGTGTCGCATTCGTTAATTTTGTGTCAAAAACGGATTCGAGTGCGACTTTCCTAAAGACATCTAGATTCACTTGCAAAGGATAACGTTAAATTGTGAAATCAACCCGCAGAGTAGACTGAACCTGATTGTTCTGCTCCAAACCAAGCAAAATTGTCTAAATCACATGAACAGATTATAGCATTCATTTTTACTTCACACGCCTACTGACGGGGATACAATGTAATCTCGAAAATTTTAGAAAATAAGATTTAATGTAGTTTGCAAGTCATTTGACATGTAGGAAATTTCAGGCTGGTATAACAGATGTTATAAATCAAAAGTATGAACAATTTGATGCATATACATATTTGTAACATAACTTCAAAATAGAGTGCTGGCAGGGAACAGAAGAAAACTATGAAAATCAAGGAGGCCATAAAGGCGTCCTTCAATATTGTAGGAACGACTGACGATATGACCCTAAAGTAAAGATGTGGCCCGGGATTCTAAATGGGAGAATCATTGTACCCTTTGAGCTGCCAGAGTTCTTGAATAGCGAAATTTATTTAGAATCTTTATAAAAATCATTTAGCAAATTTATTGGAAGACGTACTACTAAGCATTTAAAGAGACATGTGGTACCAAGACGGCTGCCCAGCGCACTATGCCCATTCAGTTGAGAATATCTTGATGCGGAGTACCCGAGCAGATGGATACGGCGGATTCGTACAATTTCGTATAACCTCAAAATAGAGTGCTGGCAGGGAACAGAAGAAAACTATGAAAATCAAGGAGGCCATAAAGGCGTCCTTCAATATTGTAGGAACGACTGATGATATGAACCTAAAGTAAAGATGTGGCCCGGGATTCTAAATGGGAGAATCATTGTACCCTTTGAGCTGCCAGATTTCTTGAATAGCGAAATTTATTTAGAATCTTTATAAAAATCATTTAGCAAATTTATTGGAAGACGTGCCACTAAGCATTTAAAAAGACATGCGGTACCAAGACGGCTGCCCAGCGCACTATGCCCATTCAGTTGAGAATATCTTGATGCGGAGTACCCGAGCAGATGGATACGGCGGATTGGTACAATTTCGTGGACAGCACGTTTACCTGACTTAAATCCACTCGATTTTTTTACTAGGGAAAGGTGAAAGTCAAAGCCAATCGAAAATTTACCTGGGCGACGGGACAGGATAACGGAAGCAGCTGATTTTGTTAATAACGGAAGATTCGCTCATCTGATAACCCGATCATTTTTAAGATTGCAAGCTGGCATTGCTGCTGAAGGAAGGCAGTTTGAACATTGGTTGTGAATTTACTAAATACATTCACGAATTAATGAAAGTTACGTTGCATCTGCCTTGCGATCACTTCGTAGAATGTCACTGTCCGTCACTACGTCTAAGAAAAAAAAATGTAATAATGGGAACCAAAAGAACATCATAGAATGTAGATTTTTTCGATTTTTTTTAATGCCTATAATTTGAAAAGTACACGACATCTGATAACCCGATCATATTTAAGATTGCAAACTGGCATTGCTGCTGAGGGAAGGCAGTTTGAACATTGGTTGTGAATTTACTAATATACATTCACGAATTAATGAAAGTTACGTTACATCTGCCTTGCGATCACTTCGTAGAATGTCACTGTCCGTCACAACGTCTAAGGAAAAAAATTGTAATAATGGGAAAGAAAAGAACATCATAGAATGTAGATTTTTCCGATTTTTTTTAATGCCTATACTTTGAAAAGTACACGACTTAGATTTGTTTATATTTATCTGATAACTATTATGACTTAGCATATCTCCTATTTACGGCTTCACGTCGACTTCTGGGACACCCTGTACATGTATTCGTACTGAAACCCAAGAAACCTACGGAGCTTGCACGAATCGAAACGAACCGCTGTAGAGATGCCGCCCATTTGTGGAAAGAGACAACGTTGCCACATAGTTGGGGCAGTAGGGCAGGGAAAGAATGTCAGCTGGACTAATTGTATGGGAATGTTTGACTGACTTAATATATTTAATTTCTCTGTTCTACATGTCCGTAACTCAATATTTTCTCAGACGATTTGAATTGCGCTGGACGTTATGAAATGATGATGGCGTTGCGTAAGAAGTACAGGGTTTACCCACTTGACGCCATTTTTTTCATGTAGAGTCCAGACACTTTTCAAATCACCTGGTAAGTTGTTTAGATTGAAGATTAATTTTGTAGTTACTTGTTATGGAGAAAAATAATACCTTTTTTGGGACCTAAGATTAAGCGATACATTCTGTTCACAATGCCAGTCACTTTCTCTCAACTGTGTAGTTTACTGGTTCACGTGACGGTGACGTTTCCACTAGACTATAACGTCGCCGTGTCTGTTGTTTGATATTGTTTCTTGGGCAAGAGACGTCAAGATCTGTGTGAAGGGCGTCTCAAAGAGTCCTTGCAATCTAATCTAGGAGCATAATTTAAATTGAAAATATGGAACACTCGGTATAAATGAATTCTGCCTCCTTGACAGTTTACTATACAACACCATCAGGTCATGACATTCTGCCGAGTTTTTCGAGTTTTTTGACATTTTTTCTCGCGAAAAAGATCGGTTTCAGTGACCGAAAATCGTTCTATGCCAGACAACGCCAGACTTTCTTCGCCCAGGATCCCTACCAGGTACATTTTACAATTTTTGTTAGGATAGGAATTAATGTGTAGAGATACAATCTGTATTGTGTAAGACCCAGAGCCCTAAACGTTGGAAGATTTAAGAGATGTTCTCAATTTTCTTATCTCAGTATCAGATTTAAACGAGTTATCAGTATCAACAAAGCTATGCCGATATTTTTTAAAGATTTTAGGTTACTATATACTTAATAGCACAGAGCAAGAATGAGAAAGTGCCGGACAACATAGTAAAACTGTTTTGAAACACGACCAACGAGTCTCGAATTGTAGGGCGTATGTGTGATATCTATAAAAGTAGTGCTTTTCATAAAAACCAGTCTTAATACAGGACAGTACCGACTCATTATACAAAAGGTCCGACCGTAGACTAGCTTTTTCGCCGAAGTCAATAATCAAATCCAAGCGAATAACTAAAATTTCTGTGTTATGTACTGCGGTTATAATATGGTTTAAGAATGGTTTAAGATGACACACGGGTTGATGACGTCAGTTACTCGAATCTCTTGAACACGTTGGTTTTAACCGCGGTTTTGTTGCGTTTTTTATTTTAGAGAAGCGCGTATATAATTTCTGATTATTATTATTATCACTTAATAATCGGTGCTTTTTCGGCTACAACAGTGTATGGAAAGTAAAAAAACAAACTATTCATAGTATTAATGGGAAAAATGTTTTTTTTCAGCAAATAATTTTTAATGATGGTGCTATGGCTTTGTAGCTATGATAACTTTCAATTTTCTAAACTTTTCCGCATGTTAAAGAAAACATTTGTTGACAGCAAAAATGATAGGAAAAGCCTCAACTTTACCAAAAATGAAGCTGAAGTACACCAAAAATATCCAATACCCGGTAAAATTCTAACTTGTCACATTTCAGATAATAACCAGTCAGTCATTGGCATACCAAATTAAGCGCAGTGCTTGGTGTCATTCAGTTTGTTGCAAGTTCAAATAAATGAAACTACATTAATAAGATATTTTTTATTGCTAAAACAAAAGAATATAGGAAAAAAGTATCTATTCACATCATCTAAATCATAAATCTAGTTGGTACACAAACAATTTTCTTTCTCTCTTGCCTTCAAAGATTTGCAACATGCTTTGCATATGAACTGGTCTATCTTTGTTGAACATGTTTCATAATACATTTTTCATGAAAGGTCCTTGTACCCGAGTAACATTTGACACCTTTGTTTGCTTTGCCTATATTCATCACGCATATAAAGCAGATCCCATTGGTACATTTGACATTCTGCTTGAAATTACATGAATCATCAAGCTCATCTTTGACAAGCCGTTTTACATGGCTTTCCTTTGAGTTTTCAGG